TAGGGGTAAGTATAGTGATAGGGGTAGTGATAGGGGTAGGGATAGTGATAGGGGTAGAGATGGTGGTAGGGGAATTGATAGTGATAGGGATAGTGATAGGGGAATTGATAGTGATAGGGGTAATTATAGTGATAGGGGTAGTGATAGGGGTAGGGATAGTGATAGGGGTAGAGATGGTGATAGGGGTAGAGATGGTGATAGGGGTAGAGATGGTGATAGGGGTAGGGATAGTGATAGGGGTAGAGATGGTGGTAGGGGAATTGATAGTGATAGGGATAGTGATAGAGGTAATTATAGTGATAGGGGTAGTGATAGGGGTAGAGATGGTGGTAGGGGAATTGATAGTCATAGGGATAGTGATAGAGGTAATTACAGTGATAGGGGTAGTGATAGGGGTAGAGATGGTGATAGGGGAATTGATAGTGATAAGGATAGTGATAGGGGTAGAGATGGTGATAGGGGAAGTGATAGTGATAGGGATAGTGATAGGGGTTATTATAGTGATAGGGATAGTGATAGGGGTAGAGATGGTGATAGGGGAATTGATAGTGATAGGGATAGTGATAGGGGTAATTATAGTGATAGGGATAGTGATAGGGGTAGAGATGGTGATAGGTTTAATTTGTAGTGATAGGGATAGTGATAGAGGTAATTATAGTGATCGGGGTAGAGATAGGGGTAGGCGTAGTGATAGGAGTAGTCTGCGCTAACACTAACAACGGTGCTGTTCGTTGCTGGCCGCTGGGCGGTGTAGGCCATCCGGCCCCCGTGTTCCAGGCAGGGCCGTGGTAACCCGAGGGGTGCCTCGACTTGGCCTCGACTTGGCCCCGACTCGTCCCCGACTTGACCCAGACTTGACCCTGACTTGACCCCGACTTGGCCCCGACTTGACCCGGACTTGGCCCTGACTTGACCCCGACTTGACCCTGACTTGACCCCGACTTGACCCCGACTTGACCCTGACTTGACCCGGACTTGGCCCCGACTTGACTCGGACTTGGCCCTGACTTGACCCTGACTTGACCCCGACTTGGCCCTGACTACCCTGACTTGGCCACGACTTGCCTCGAGCCTCATCCTCCTCGTGCCACGAAGCAGAGAGAAAGAGAGAGCATCCACGGGTACACGTGTGGACAGTGATGGGGTGGGGGGCGGTGGCGCAGTGGTTCGCGCTACGCTGCGCTACGAACCCGGCCACCCGAGTTCGACTTCCACTCACGGCCACCAACACCAGTGATGGTTATCTGAACCAGTCCTGGGCCTCCCCAAGGCCGACTCAGTCCCTCCTGGACATCTGTGACAGAACAAGCTTCATAGCTTATCGGAATCCTTTCAGCCTGAATAAATACTGCATTTTAAAATGAGTGACTGGTGCGGTGTGTAAACATCCCAACTGGGAAGACAAAGGCGGCCGGCCGTGGTGCTAGCCACCCACACCCTCGTGTGTCGTGCCGGCCTTCATAGGAGCTCGCTAACAGCACTTGCCCCAACCGTCTGTTAAGGCTACACGGGGGATCTTTGTCTTTGGGGTTTCCCGCTGAGCTCCAGGTTCCAACCCGGGTTTAAAATCTGCTGGTGATTGAGCCGGGACCGATCGACAAACATCGAGTCGTAGAGTTACATAGAGACTCGTAGACTCACATAGAGACCCATAGACTCACACAGAGACCCATAGACTCACACAGAGACCCATAGACTCACACAGAAACCCATAGACTCACACAGAGACCCATAGACTCACACAGAGACCCATAGACTCACACAAAGACCCATAGACTCACACAAAGACCCATAGACTCACACAGAGACCCATAGACTCACACAGAGACCCATAGACTCACACAGAGACCCACAGACTCACACAGAGACCCATAGACTCACACAAAGACCCAGACTCACACAGAGACCCATAGACTCACACAGACCCATAGACTCACACAGAGACCCACAGACTCACACAGAGACCCATAGACTCACACAGAGACCCACAGACTCACACAGAGACCCATAGATTCACACAGAGACCCATAGGCTCACACAGAGACCCATAGACTCACACAGAGACCCATAGACTCACACAGAGACTCGGTAAAATACATCTCCTTATCAAAACGGAACAGGGTATCTGGTCATCATTACTGCGCTTTGAAGGGCCGTTGCTCGAAACGTCGCCTATTGTCAAGGCCACACACACATCACGCTGCCGTGAGTATTATTGGTGTCAGGTGAAGTGTATCATTTAGCTGACTAATCCGAGTACAAAAATGGGCCGCGATTAATTGTTTGGTGACTTGTTAACCGTTTAAACTATTTTGCACTCCGAACGTCTTTTCGTTTCGTGTTTGCTGCTGTAACTCGCTGACCTCGCCCATACCGGGCAGGCAGTGAAAAGGAAAGAGCTTCACAGCTCTTCGGATTCCTCTTCCCTGCGCTCGAAATCGAGATTCTCTGATCCTGACGAGTGGGGAAGACTCCCATGGCGAGACTCGAACGGGGAATCGACCGTTGAGCGGTAATCGCGACGTGGAATCGAAGGAGAGGAATCGAATCGCAAAGGAAACTGCCGGCTTCCTCTCGCGGCCCAAATCCCATGGCCCCCACCGCCCCGCCCCCACCGCCAAGCTGCCAGATTCTGCGATTCCCGCTCCATCTCCTCTCAAATCGTCCCCCCCCCCTCCCTTCTTCCTTCCCCCACCCCCTCCCCCCTCCAGAAGCCCAGACTCAATAAACACCACGGCCGAATGCTCCCCCCCACTCCTCCCCTTCCCCATCACTCCCCCCCCTGGGTGAGTGGGTGAGTGGTTGGTCGAGTGGGTGAGGGGTGAGTGGGTGAGGGGTGAGTGGTGAGGGGTGAGTGGGTGAGTGGTTGGGTGAGTGGGTGAGGGGTGAGTGGGTGAGTGATAGGGTGAGTGGGTGGATGTGTGAGTGTTGGTGAATGAGCAGGTGAGTGGGTGAGTGTGTGGATGTGTGAGTGTTGGTGGGTGAGCAGGTGAGTGGGTGAGTGTGTGGATGTGTGAGTGTCGGTGGGTGAGCAGGTGAGTGGGTGAGTGTGTGGATGTGTGAGTGTTGGTGGGTGAGCAGGTGAGTGGGTGAGGGTGTGGATGTGTGAGTGTTGGTGGGTGAGCAGGTGAGTGGGTGAGGGTGTGGATGTGTGAGTGTTGGTGAATGAGCAGGTGAGTGGGTGAGTGTGTGGATGTGTGAGTGTTGGTGGGTGAGCAGGTGAGTGGGTGAGTGTGTGGATGTGTGAGTGTTGGTGGGTGAGCAGGTGAGTGGGTGAGGGTGTGGATGTGTGAGTGTTGGTGGGTGAGCAGGTGAGTGGGTGAGTGTGTGGATGTGTGAGTGTCGGTGGGTGAGCAGGTGAGTGGGTGAGTGTGTGGATGTGTGAGTGTTGGTGGGTGAGCAGGTGAGTGGGTGAGTGTGTGGATGTGTGAGTGTTGGTGGGTGAGCAGGTGAGTGGGTGAGGGTGTGGATGTGTGAGTGTTGGTGGGTGAGCAGGTGAGTGGGTGAGGGTGTGGATGTGTGAGTGTTGGTGGGTGAGCAGGTGAGTGGGTGAGTGTGTGGATGTGTGAGTGTTGGTGGGTGAGCAGGTGAGTGGGTGACTGTGTGGATGTGTGAGTGTCGGTGGGTGAGCAGGTGAGTGGGTGAAAGTGATTGGGTGAGAGGAAGTGATAGGGTGAGGTGGTGAGTAAGGTGGTGAGTAATTTAATGAGTGGGTGAGTGGATCAAGTGAGTGGATGAGTGGGAAGGTGAAGGAGCGATAGGTCGAGTGAGTGAGGGAGTGGGTGAAGGGGTGAATGGTTCAGTGAGCGACAGAGGTCGACCAATAATATCACACGGTGTGGAGGGGGTGTTCCCGAAACGTCGAGCTTTGTATATACATAAGTAAAATACACATTCAGTTTATATTTCGTGGTAAATGGAAATGTAAACAACATTACCGCTAGCCAGGGTGGGGGGCCCTGCCAGGCTGGGGGGGGGCTGCCAGGGTGGGGGCTAACAGGGTGGGGGGCCCTGCCAGGGTGGGGGGCCCTGTCAGGGTGGGGGGGGGGTGTCAGGGTGGGGGGGGGGCTGTCAGGGTGGGGGGGGGCCCTCACGGACCCCCTCTCTCACGGACCCCTCTCTCTCATGAACCCCTCACGGACCCCTCTCTCACGGACCCCTCTCTCACGGACCCCTCTCTCTCACGAACCCCTCTCTCTCACGAACCCCTCACGGACCCCCTCTCTCACGGACCCCTCTCTCACGGACCCCTCTCTCACGGACCCCTCTCATCTCCCTGCAGTAGGGGGGAGGGCGGGGGAGAGCGCTCTCGGGCTTGGCCACCACAAATAAACAGCGGCCCCGCCCTGGAGCCCCCCCCCCCCCCCCCGCTCCGCTGTGATTGTCGCTGTCTGCTTCCTGCCCCCCCTCCCTGCTCACGTGTTCGGGGCCGGGCGAGCCGGCGAGCCGGCCTGCCCACGGGGATTGCGGTGAGGGTTGGGGTTGGCGCTAGGGTTTGAGGCTCGGGTTGCGTTCAGCTTGGGGTTGGGTTTAGGGTTGGAGTCAGGGTTAGATTGTGGGGTGAGCGTTGGGGCTAGAGACAGTTTTTTTTTGCATATTGCCGTTAAAATGGTCACCTCAACGAGGAATAGCTGTGCTGATGGTGTCTCATCAGCACAGCGGGGTCGCTTGAGCCACTGGTCCATTCCAAGCGAAACTCTGAACCTGGTTTGACATTCAGCGATGACTGATCACCAATCTTCTTGACCTCCTAGCGAATTCCTCCATCACCTCCTGACTTGACCCCCATGACCCTCAGACCTTCAGAGAGGCCCAATATTGAACCTCCCTAATCTCATACTCTTTGGTTCTTTCGGTAAAGTCACGTATTAAAAAGAAAAGACTTTACCGAAAGAACCAAAGAGTATGGTTTCCTGAAGTCACGAAAGCTTCAAATCAAGATTGAACCTCCATCACCTCCTGACCTGATTCCCCCCCCCCCCCCCCCGTGTGTCCGTCAGACCTTCGCGCCCGTCTCTCGGGCCAGCTGCGCTCGCTGGAGGGCCGTGCGGAGGACCGTGCGGCCCTGCTAGCCCAGATGCACGACTTCGTGCGGCGGCGCGGCGAGCTGGCGTCCGAGTACGCCCGGGGCCTGCAGCGCCTGGCCGACCGGGCCTCCCAGAGGGCCCCCTCCACGCGGGCCACGCGGCAGCAGCGGCAGGAGGAGGAGGAGGACGAGGAGACGATGACGTCGTGCGGGTGAGTGGGTGGGCGTCGCACTGGTCAGGAGATGTTAACTACCTCGCCTGGTATGCAGGTCGTGGGTCTGATACCGACCCCGACGATGCCTGCCGTATATTTGGAGTTTGCGCATCTCTCTCCCTCCCCGTGGTCGCGTGGATTGTTCTCCGTCTCCTCCGCGTTTCCCTCCACATTTAGAATCAACGTCACGCGTTTAGACTGCTATTTGTCTCACGCTTTACATTTCCACGTGACGATAAGACACTCCGTTGAGCTATCATTGGTAATAGCCAGTGTCGCTTCTGTAAAAGAGCTACATAGCTCAGTGGGCCTTACCTGGTAAAATACAAAATAATATATTGTTTAGCTTTAATAGTTTAGAGTGAGTGGATCAGGGCAGTGTTCTTCACTAATTTTCAGAGGGGGGGGTGGGGTCACACTTTCGCCGATAAGAGAGCATCCGTGTGAGGGCCGCCACACCATTTGTAACCATTGAGGGTTTGACAGCAGCAGCAGCAGCACGATGATGGTGGTGGTGGTGCTGATGGGGCGGTGTCATCACGACTTGTGTATTGCCCCGGGGTTGTCGCCCGTTAGGGGCCGCACTCAAGGGCCACCGGAGGGCCGCCAGTTTGGCCCGCGGGGCCTTGCAACGGAGGCCACTTGGGTGGCGGGTTGCTCGTTAGCAATTGTGACTGGCAGCAGCAGCAGCATTGGCAGCAGCAGTAGATGTCTGGGTTGAGAGGAGATCTGACCATGAATCATCGTCACTTGCAGCAGCATTATCATCAACGTTGTCATCAGCAATCTCTGTGTGTGCGTGGTATAATCCCTCTGTGTGTGTGTGGGACAATCTCTCTGTGTGTGTGGTACAATCCCTCTGTGTGTGTGGTACAATCCCTCTGTGTGTGTGTGTGGTACAATACCTCTGTGTGGTACAATCCCTCTGTGTGTGTGGTACAATCCCTCTGTGTGTGTGTGGTACAATCCCTCTGTGTGTGTGGTACAATCCCTCTGTGTGTGGTACAATCCCTCAGTGTGTGTGGTACAATACCTCTGTCTGTGTGGTACAATCCCTCTGTGTGTGTGGTAAACTCCCTCTGTGTGTGAGGTACAATCCCTCTGTGTGTGTGGCACAATCTCTCTGTGTGTGTGGCATACTCCCTGTGTGTGGTACAATTCCTCTGTGTGTGTGGTACAATCCCTCTGTGTGTGGTACAATCCCTCTGTGTGTGTGGTACAATCCCTCTGTGTGTGTGGGACAATCCCTCTGTGTGTGTGTGGTACAATCCCTCTGTGTGTGTGGTACAATCCCTCTGTGTGTGGGACAATCCCTCTGTGTGTGTGTGGTACAATCCCTCTGTGTGTGTGCTACAATCCCTCTGTGTGTGTGGTACAATCCCTCTGTGTGTGTGGTACAATCCCTCTGTGTGTGTGGGACAATCCCTCTGTGTGTGTGGTACAATCCCTCTGTATGTATGGTACAATCCCTCTGTGTGTGTGGGACAATCCCTCTGTGTGTGTGGTACAATCCCTCTGTGTGTGTGGTACAATCCCTCTGAGTGTGTGGTACAATCCCTCTGTGTGTGTGGTACAATCCCTCTGCGTGTGTGGGACAATCTCTCTGTGTGTGTGGCAAGCCCTCCCACCCCACAAAGATGACAGGAGGCTCCACGTGGGTGGTGAGAGGGGGGAGAGGGGGAAGTGGAAGGGGCGCTGTGGGGTGGGGGTGTAAGTTTAGTGGCGGCGATGATGAAAGGGAAGAGGCGGTGTTGCAATGCTCACACGGAACAATCATCATCATCATCAGAAGCATTTCTCACCCCGCCATCACCGTGTGAACGCACTGAGCCCTCATTAAGCCGTTAAATAGTTGCAGAGCAAACGGATCTGCATGGCGCTGTCTACCCGTGCCTCCTCCTCCACCACCACCACCCGTCAACGAGTGTAGATTCACGGGGAGGGACAGAGGACAGGGAAAAGGCGGTGGGGTTGGTGGATCATCGCACAGACCCCCCCTCCCCTCCCGCGGGTTGCCATGGAGGTGCCACAGTACAGCGAGTGCGCAGCAGACACCACCTGTCTGTTCTCGTACGGGGGATCGAGCGTTGCTCCCTCGCTCACGTTGGAGGTTTTCTCGGGGTTTTCCGGTTTCTTCCTCCCACGCGAACTAAAAGCAACGCTCGCTAATTGACCGAAAACATCCCAATATGTGGAGACTTTTGTTTAGTTTTGCCCGACAGGGTAAAAACGTATTCTTATTTGTTCATACTTTGATTCTGGCAAAACGGTATCCCATGATGCAGCTGCTCACCCCGCGCTATAAATGCTCTGACACGTGTGGCATTGTCTTGGTGCTGCTCGCCTTGTGGCGTCGTTCTCTGGCCTGACACTGGTGGTGAGACACGGCCACAGAGAAGGCTCCTGTCTCTGCTGTAGGCCAATCAGTTTAAAAGACAATGCGTCATTTGTCATCAGAGCCACGTGTTTGTTTGCATGTTAGCCACGAGTACGCCTGGTTAAGGCACTACTTGATTCCTTGATAAGGGTTTATATTTGGTGTTTGAACAACTTATACACAACTCCTGTTTCATTGGCAGAAAGGGCACACACCCCATTCGTATTTGTCATTCTTTGATCGTGGCACGAGGTCCCATGTCGAGTTGGTTTTCCTTTCTGCCTGCACCTTCGCTGAGCACGGCTCGGCTGTGAGCACTGCGAGACAAGTCCAGCGGAGCCTGCCAGGAAAGTGGTCCTTGGTGCCGCCCGGCAGCCTTCCAGCTCGGCCTGTGGCCCCTGCTCAGCGCAATGCAATTTGCACGAACGATGATGCTCCTGCTGTGTAACATTCGTGTTTATATTCCTTTATAGTGTTGAGAGGATTTTTTTTTACACGGATGATGAAACTATTTCAACAGTTTTTTTAGTTTACCAGGTAAAACCCACTGAGCGAAATAGATCATTTTCAGAAACGACCTGGCTATCACAAATTAATTATAGCTCACCGAAGTGGCTTGGTTGGGTGGGTGAGTTAGTGGTTGGGTGGGTGAGTGGGTGAATGAGTGGTTGATTGAGTGAGTGGTTGGGTGGGTCAGTGTGAGGGTGGGTAGGTAAGTGAGTGGTTAGGTGGGTGAGTGAATGTTTGGGTGAGTGAGTCAGTGGTTGGGTGGGTGAGTGGGTGAGTGAGTGGTTGGGTGAGTGAGTGGTTGGGTGGGTCAGTGTGAGGGTGGGTGAGTGAGTGGTTGGGTGGGTCAGTGTGAGGGTGGGTAGGTGAGTGAGTAGTTAGGTGGGTGAGTGAATGTTTGGGTGAGTGAGTCAGTGGTTGGATGGGTGAGTGGGTGAGTGAGTGGTTGGGTGAGTGAGTGGTTGGGTGGGTCAGTGTGAGGGTGGGTGAGTGGTTGGGTGGGTCAGTGTGAGGGTGGGTAGGTGAGTGAGTAGTTAGGTGGGTGAGTGAATGTCTGGGTGAGTGAGTCAGTGGTTGGGTGGGTGAGTGGGTGAATGAGTGGTTGGGTGAGTGAGTGGTTGGGTGGGTGAGTGGTTGGGTGAGTGGTTGGATAGGTTAGTGATTGGTTGGGTCAGTGAGTGAGTGGATGGGTGCATTAGTGAGTGGGTGGATGTGTGGGTGAGTGATTGGGTCAGTGAGCGAGCGGGTGAATGTGTGTGGATTGCGTACCAACCGAGTAAATCTGGCTGTGGCCCACAGAGTGACAACAGCAACGACAACAAAAACAAACAACAGCAGGTGGATTAAGCCCCGACCCTTCCCTTACCACCGAAGAGCCCTTGCCACCGGGGCCACTCTGAGTGCGCAGGCTCCTTCGGGTCCGGGCCGGTAGCTGTGTGCGGTGTGCGTGGTGTGCGTGATGTGTGCGTGGTGTGCGTGGTGTGTGATGTGTGCGGTGTGTGTGGTGTGCGTGGTGTGCGTGGTGTGTGTGATGTGTGCGTGGTGTGCGGTGTGCATGGTGTGCGGTGTGCGGTGTGCGTGGTGTGTGTGATGTGTGCGTGTGGTGTGTGATGTGTGCGTGTGGTGTGCGTGGTGTGTGCGGTGTGCGTGGTGTGCGTGGTGTGTGCGGTGTGCGTGGTGTGTGTGGTGTGCGTGGTGTCCGTGGTGTGTGTGATGTGTGCGTGTGGTGTGTGATGTGTGCGTGTGGTGTGCGTGGTGTGCGTGGTGTGTGTGATGTGTGCGTGTGGTGTGTGATGTGTGCGTGTGGGGTGCGTGGTGTGCGGTGTGCGTGGTGTGTGCGGTGTGCGTGGTGTGTGATGTGTGCGGTGTGCGTGGTGTGTGCGGTGTGCGTGGTGTGTGTGATGTGTGCGTGTGGTGTGTGCGGTGTGCGTGGTGTGTGGCAGGCGCGCGTGGCGCTCCGCCGGTGCCGTGCCCGCCCCGTGCCCACGCTCCTGCTGGGCCCTGCTGCTCGCCGCCACGCACGGAGAGGCGCGTTGCCACGCGGCCATCGCGGAGGCGTGCGGAGGAGCGGTGGCGCCGCGGTTGGCGCGCATCGCCGACAGCTCCGCGCGACTCTCCAAGAAGGTGCAGGGGAGGGGGGAGTGGGGGTGGTGCAGGGGGGAGTGGGGGTGGTGCAGGGGGGAGTGGGGGTGGTGCGGGGGAGGGGGAGTGGGGGTGGTGCAGGGGGGAGTGGGGGTGGTGCGGGCGAGAGACCCCGGGGGTTTGGTTGTGGGGTGCAGGTTCTGGGCTGCGCGTGGCTACTCGCTTACCACCCCCCCCACCACCACCCTGGATCTATAGAGATCATAGACACCCATAGACCCACGCAGAGACCAGTAGACTCACACTGAGACCCATAGACTGGCTTAGAGCCCCATAGACCCACACAGAGACCCATAGACCCACACTGAGACCCATAGACTAGCGTAAAGACCCGTAGACCCGCACAGAGATGCATAGAGAGATTTGGTGATGTGTGGTGACCTATTGGCCTCGTGACCTATTAACCGTGTGACCCGGTCACATGGCGGTGCAGGGCAGGGACCTGGGGCAGCAGCTGCAGGAGGAGCTGCTGAAGTTCGTGACAGAGATCGGCGCGGTGAGTCCACCCAGTGGGTGTACGCCGCCGCACTGCACTCAGCCTTGCCACAACCACCGGCTCGCGGGAGCTGAATGCGTGGCCATTTTGAGGAGCGTGCAGACCACCGCGGTGCTCGGGTGAACGAGGTTGGGCCCGTCACAGCACGCGGCAGCCGCCGGGCTCACTCCGCTGCTGGCCATGCCGCTGCTGCTGGTGGTGGTGTGTGCTGGTGGTACTGATGGTGGTGCTCGTGGTGGGCGTGGTGCTGCTGAGGCCCAGTACCGGTTCAGGAAATCGTCACTGGTGTTGGCCGTGAGCGTAAATCGAACTCGCGTCACTGGTTTCGGAGCTCAGTGCGCTAACTGCTACCACTGCTGCTCCCCACCACCACCACCACTACCCCCACCACCACTACCCCTACCACCCCCACCACCACTACCCCCATCACCACCCCCACCCCCACCACCACCCCCACCCCCACCAACACCCCCACCACTCCCACCACCACCACCCCCAACACCGCCACCACCACCACTACCCCCACCACCACTACCCCTACCACCCCCACCACCACTACCCCCATCACCACCCCCACCACCACCCCCACCTCCACCAACACCCCCACCACTCCCACCACCACCACCCCCAACACCCCCACCACCACCCCCAACACCCCCACCATCACCCCCAACACCCCCACCACCACTACCCCCACCACCACTACCCCCACCACCCCCACCATCACTACCCCCACCACCACTACCACCCCCACCACCACCACCCCCACTACTACACCCATCACCACCCCCACCACTCCCACCACCACTACCACCACCACCCCCACCACCCCCACGACCATCACCCCCACCACCACTACACCCACCACCACTACCACCACCACCCCCACCACCACTACCCCCACCACCCCCACCACCACCCCTACTATCACCCCCACCACCACTACCCCCACCACCACTACCACCACCACCTTACCCCCACCCCCACCACTACCCCCATCACCACCCCCACCACCGCCCCCATCACCACCACCCCAACCACCACCCCCACCACCACCACCCCCACCACCACTACCCCCACCACCACTACTACCCTCACCATCACCCCCACGGTCCCCTGCCCATCTTCCCTCCGCAGGCCTCCAAGGCCTACCGGCTCTACAGGGCCCAGGCCCTCACGGCCGACACGAAGCTGCGGGACGCGGAGCGGCGTTTGGGTGGGGGGGGCGCCTCGGCCGAGGGGACCCCCGCAAGGAGCCCCTCGCGCAAGCTCGCACGCCTCCTGGAGAAGGTGGTGCCGGTGGACCGGTCATCATCCGTTTGACCTTTTTCCTGTTTGACCGTTTCATAATTCCACCTATCCATCCATTGATTGCTTGTCCATTTGACCTTTTATACCGTTTGACCGTGTGGCCGTTTTATAATTGACCTATTGATCGATTGATTGCTTGTTCGATTAACCTTTTGTACCGTTTGACCTTTTTACCGTTTCATAATTAGACCTATTGATCGATTGATCGCTTGTCTGATTGACCTTTGAACTGTTTGACCCTTTGACCATTTCATAATTCCACCTATTCCTCGGATCGACTATTTGATCGATTGACCGTGTTGACCATTCTATTACCTGACATTGATTGACCCTTTGAGCATTTAATAATTTGACCTCCTCGTTCTTCGACTACTCGACCACTTGTCCATTTGACCTTATGACCAATTGACAAAAACATTTAATTATTTGTTATTTTTGCCAGGTCAGGGCCTCCACTGAGCTACATAGTACCTCTTTTTGACAAGCGCCCTGGCTAGCACACATGATGACAGCTCAAAGAAGTGGCTGTCATCATCATCTTCGCGTGGAACATTTATAGCAGCAGCCAGATACTCTCCGAGCGCATGGCGTTCATTCTAAATGTGGAGGGGAAAACCGGAGGAATCCGGAGAAGAATCCACGTGACCACGGGGAGAGAGAGAGACACCGCAGACTCGGAATATGCAGCAGCAGGCGTCAGGGTCGGGATTGAACTCACGAGCTTCTGTATACCAGGCGAGGGAGATAACATGTCCGAGCCACCGTGGCACCCCATTCCATAATTTGACCTCTTGATTGTTTACACTGTTTGGCCACTTGTCCGACTGGCTGCCTGACAGTTTGACCAAACGACCCGTTGATAGTTTGACCAGTTGATCCTGTGACCATCTCACCATCTGTCCAGTTGGCCGTTTGACCATTAAACTGTTTGACCGTTTGACCAAATGACCGACTGGCCATTCGACCTATCGATCCTTCGATCATTTATCCCTCTTTACTGTTTAACCATTCATTCCACGTACCGACGGCCGGTTTACACATTTGACAAAGTCATTCGACCGCGTTGGGACCGATCGACCTCCGTGTGACCCCCAGTGTGACCCCCAGTGTGACCCCGGCATGACTCCGGCGTGACCCCTGTATGCTCCCCCGCCCAGCGGCAGGCAAAGGCCGGTGAGGCGCGCCTGCGTGAGGCTCGAGCACGGAACGAGCTGCTGCTCACGCTGGCAGCCGCCAACTCCTCCGTGGAGCGTTTCCACGACTACGACCTGCCCAGCATCATCGACGTGAGCACCACGACCCCCACCGTGACCCCGCTGGCCCTGAACCCCTGGCCCTGACCTCCTGACCCTCACCCCCTGGCCCTGATTCCCTGGCCCTGACCCCTGGCCCTGACCCCCATGCCCCTGACCCCCTGGCCCTGAAATGTGGATTAGCAGCCAAATACTCTCTAAGTGCGTGTTGTCGATTAAAACATTTGGAGGAGAAATACTGGAGGGACCCGGAGAAAAATCCACGCGACCGCCATGGGGGGAGAGAGAGACGCAAACTACAAATATTACAACAGACGTCATCAGGTTCGGGATCGAACCTACGACCTCCTGCATACCAGGCGACGGAGTTAACATCTTGGCGTGCGTCCCCCCCCCCCCCCCCCGCTGCCGCCAGTGCTGCGACGTGGCGTTCCACGCGCGGCTGTCCGAGGCGCTCTCCCTCTTTGTGGGCGCCGGCTGCGCCGCCGACGCCGCCCAGCGCGGGGCCCTGGGGGCGCTCCGCGGCGCCGTGGGGGGGCTCGACCCCCGCGCCTGCAAGCGCCGCTTCCTGCGCTCGAGCGGCGACCTCTTTGCCCGACCCCCCGAGTTCCCCTTCCGCCCTCACCTGGGAGACGAGGTGAGAGGCGCCGGCCGCCTCCGCTGCCCCCCCACCGCCACCCTCACCCCCACCCCTCGCCTCGTCGTCGCCCGCTCGCACGCTCGATGACCTCGCTGCCTCGTTGATTGAGATGCTGACCCACTGGTTGACCCACTGATTGACCCACTGATTGACCCACTGATTGATCCACTGACCCACTGATTGACCCACTGATTAACCCACTGATTGACCCACTGACCCACTGATTGACTCACTGATTGACCCACTGATTGACCCACTGACCCACTGATTGACCCACTGATTGACCCACTGATTGACCCACTGGTTTACCCACTGATTGACTCACTGGTTTACCCACTGATCCACTAGTTGACCAACTGACCGACTGGTTGATCAACTGACCCATTGATTGACCAACTGATTGACCCACTGGTTGACCAACTGACCCACTGATTAAATCACTGATTTACCCACTGGTTGACCCACTGGTTGACCCATTGATTGACCAACTGATTAACCCACTCACTCTTTGACCCACTGACTGGTTTCCCCAGGTGACTCGTAGTTGCAGTCACCCCTTGTTATGCTTGGCCACCGCCGGTTACGTGCGAGCTGTCCAGGTGAGCGAGCTGGTCTCCCCCGGTAACGCGCACTTGCCCCGGTTACGTGCGAGCTGTCCAGGTGAGCGAGCTGGTCTCCCAGGCCAGCGTGCGCTCCGAGCTGCGGGCGAGGCTGCAGCAGCTGAGGGCGCGCGTTGCAGCGCTGCACGCGGAGAGCCAGCAGGTACACGCTCATCACCATCACTACCATCGTCAACATCAACAGCACCACCACTATGATCACCACCATCACCACCAACATCACTACCATCACCATCATTATCACTAACACCATCAATATCACTACCATCACCAACATTACTACCCTCATCACCACCATACACATCACTACCATTACCATCAGTGGGTGAGTGTGTTAGTGGGTGAAGCGGTGAGTGTGTTAGTGGGTGAAAAAGTCAGTGGGTGAATGTGATTGGGTGAGTGAGTGGGTTAGTGAGTGAGTGTGTGAGTGAGTGTGTGAGTGATTGAGTGGGTGAGTGAGTGGGTGTGTGAGTGATTGAGTGGGTGAGTGGGTGAGTGAGTGGGTGAGTGAGTGAGTGAGTCAGTGTGTGTGTGAATGAGTGGGTAAGTGAGTGGGTGAGTGAGTGAGTGTGTGAGTGAGTGAGTGGCTGAGTGAGTGAGTGAGTGTGTGAGTGAGTGGGTGAGTGAGTGGGTGAGTGTGTGAGTGAGTGGGTGAGTGTGTGAGTGAGTGTGTGAGTGATTGAGTGGGTGATTGAGTGGGTGATTGCGTGAGTGAGTGGGTGAGTGAGTGTGTGAGTGAGTGATTGTGTGAGTGAGTGGGTAAGTGAGTGAGTTTGTGAGTGAGTCGGTGAGTGGGTGGGTGAGTGAGTGGGTGAGTGTGTGAGTGAGTGAGTGGGTAAGTGAGTGGGTGAGTGAGTGAGTGTGTGAGTGAGTGGGTAAGTGAGTGGGTGAGTGAGTGAGTTTGTGAGTGAGTCGGTGAGTGGGTGGGTGAGTGAGTGGGTAAGTGAGTGTGTGCGTGAGTGGGTAAGTGAGTGGGTGAGTGAGTGAGTGAGTGGGTGAGTGTGTGAGTGAGTGGGTAAGTGAGTGGGTGAGTGAGTGTATGAGTGAGTGGGTAAGTGAGTGGGTGAGTGAGTGAGTGGGTAAGTGAGTGGGTGAGTGTGAGTGAGTGAGTGGGTGAATGGGTGAGTGAGTGAGTGTGTGAGTGAGTGGGTAAGTGAGTGAGTGTGTGTGTGAGTGAGTGAGTGGGTGAGTGTGTGAGTGAGTGGGTGGGTGAGTGAGTGGGTGAGTGAGTGTCTGAGTGAGTGGGTGAGTGAGTGAGTGGGTTAGTGTGTGAGTGCGTGAGTGAGTGGGTGAGTGTGTGAGTGAGTGAGTGAGTGGGTGAGTGAGTGAGTGGGTGAGTGGGTGAGTGAGTGAGTGTGTGAGTAAGTGAGTGGGTAAGTGAGAGAGTGAGTGAGTGAGTGGGTGAGTGTGTGAGTGAGTGGGTGGGTGAATGAGTGGGTGAGTGAGTGTCTGAGTGAGTGGGTGAGTGAGTGGGTTAGTGTGTGAGTGCGTGCGTGAGTGGGTGAGTGTGTGAGTGAGTGAGTGGGTGAGTCGGTGAGTGGGTGAGTGAGTGAGTGAGTGTGTGAGTAAGTGAGTGGGTAAGTGAGTGAGTGTGTGAGTGAGTGAGTGTGTCAGTAAGTGAGTGGGTAAGTGAGTGAGTGAGTGTTTGAGTGAGTGAGTGGGTGAGTGTGTGAGTGAGTGGGTGGGTGAGTGAGTGGGTGAGTGAGTGTCTGAGTGAGTGGGTGAGTGAGTGGGTTAGTGTGTGAGTGCGTGAGTGAGTGGGTGGGTGAGTGAGTGAGTGGGTGGGTGAGTGAGTGAGTGGGTGAGTGAGTGAGTGGGTGAGTGATTGGGTGACCTCTTGACCTCGGAGGTGCGGGCGTCCATGGAGGAGACGCTGTGTGCCCTGCGGGAGGAGACTCCAGGCGAGGGCCGAGTGGCGCGACCCTGGGAAGGACGCAGCACCACCTCCTCCACCACCTCTTCCACCACCTCCTCGACCCCCTCCTCCACCCCCTCCGTCACCACAGCCGCTACCGCCAACAACAACAACAACTACCACCACAACCACCACAGCAACCACAGCCACCACCACGGCTCGCCTCCGACGAGACACCACGGCGGTCGGCACGGCGCCGAGAATTTCTACTTCACGGTGAGTTCGTCATCGTCAACGTCGTCATCATCATCGTCAGCCATGGCCAATCAACTGCTGGATGAAGGCCTCCTATCCAAATCTGTCACCTCCGAAATTCTCAACTTACGCTATATGAGTCTACGTGTCTCTATGTGATGAGTCTATGGGTTTCTGTGTGATGAGTCTATGGGTTTCTGTGTGATGAGTCTATGGGTCTCTGTGTGGTGAGTCTATGTGTCTCTGTGTGATGAGTCTATAGGTCTCTGTGTGACGAGTCTATGGGTTTCTGTGTGATGAGTCTATGGGTTTCTGTGTGATGAGTCTATGGGTTTCTGTGTGATGAGTCTATGGGTCTCTGTGTGATGAGTCTATGGGTTTCTGTGTGATGAGTCTATGACTCTCTGTGTGATGAGTCTTTGGGTCTCTGTGGCTAGGAGATGCTAACTCCCTCGCCTGGTTTGCAGGAGGTCGTGGGTTCCATCCCGACCCTGACGCCTGCTGTATATTTGGAGTTTTGTGTCTCTCTCTCTCCCCGTGGTCGCGTGGATTTTTCTCCTGGTCCTCCGGTTTTTTCCTCCCACATTTAGAATCTCAGTTCCACACGAGTCACTTTGTGGAGCTGTCATTTGTGACAGCCTGTTCGCAGCTGACAAAGAGTTATGCAGCTCAGTGGGGCATTCCCTGGCAAATGAAACGAATTAAGTTCATAGTTTAGCAGTCGCCGTGGCTGGGGGCAGCTGACAAAACCCGGAGCGTAGTGTCGGATCTCCCTCACCTCGTGCGCTCCGTTTCTCAGAAGCTGAAGGAGCTGCTGGCCTCAGGCCACGTCGTGTCCCGGCTGCAGGCCAAGCAGCAGCTGATCCACCGGGCATTAGACGACGGTGGGTCGTCATTACCACCACCGTCAACACCACCACCACCATTGTCATTACCACCACCGTCAACACCACCACCACCACCATCGTCATTACCACCACCGTTTTCATCACCACCACCACCACCGTCGTCATGATCACCGTCATCATCACTGTCACCGTCATGATCACTGTCATCATCACCACCACCGTCATCATCACCATCGTCATCATCACCACCGTCATCATCACCAGCACCACCATCGTCGTCATCATCACCACCACCACCACCGTTTTCATCACCACCACCGACATCACCATTGCCACCACCACTTGCGTTGCCATCGTTGTTACCACCACCACTACCACCGTAATCATTACCATCACCATGATCATCACCGTCGTCGTCATCATCACCACCATCACTCGCGTCACTACCATCACCACCACCATCACAACCACCAAAAACAAATAAAAATATCTCCCCTATAGCCTTAACATACAGTTGGAGCAGGTGTTGTTAGCGAGCAGCACCTAGGAGTCCTGATCCGAGTCACGTGAGTCCTGATCCGAGTTCTCGTGAGTCCTGATCCGAGTCACGTGAGTCCTAATCCGAGTCACGTGAGTCCTGATCCGAGTCACGTGAGTCCTGATCCGAGTCACGTGAGTCCTGATCCGAGTCACGTGAGTCCTGACCCGAGTCACGTGAGTCCTAATCCGAGTCACGTGAGTCCTGATCCGAGTCACGTGAGTCCTGATCCGAGTCACGTGAGTCCTGATCCGAGTCACGTGAGTCCTGATCCGAGTCACGTGAGTCCTGATCCGAGTCACGTGAGTCCTGATCCGAGTCACGTGAGTCCTGATCCGGGTTCTTGTCTTCACAGGTGCAGCGGGAGATCCCAGCAGTGTTCGGTGAGACTCGTCACGCGTGACTCATAACAGCGTGACACTGAGAGCACAGAGCTCGACTAACACACAAAGACCCCCCACGTAGCCTCAACAGACTGTTGGGGCAAGTGCTGTTAGCGAGCACCTGTGAAGACTGGCACGGCACACGAGGGGATGGGTGGCCAGCACCACGCCCGGCCGCCTTTGTCTCCCCAGTGGCGATCTTTACAGATCGCACCGGGTGCTCATTTAAGGCTGAGTCGACCTAGAGGTGGCTCAGGACCGGTTCAAATATTCGCCACTGTTATTGACCGTGAGCGGGAACCGAACTCGGGTCGACGGGTCCGTTGCGCAGCGCTCTTCCCGCTACTTACACACAGAGTGGAACATATGTACGTGCGTTGAACTTCTTTCGCACCCTACATAGCCAACCACGCTAATCGGAGGTGCGAGAGGGAGGACAACAAACTAAACACAACAACAACAACAACAAGCAGCAGTTATAAATAAATTAGTTTGTTAATCTAGAGGATGATGAAGATTTTAAAGTGCGGCATAGCTCCCAGTGTCTTCCTAACATGGGAAGGAAAAGAGCGTTCCAGACGGCCCCAGGAGCAGCGCATCCGAAAGCGGAGACCACCAGCGCCTGTGCCGATGGCTGAGCCAGAAGCCGCTGTGAGGAGCGCAGGGCCACGTGGGCCGTGCCTCGTGGCTCCGTGGCGACACCAGCGAGCAGCCGAGGTCATGGTCGGTGGTTCATGTGCACCATGGGGAGGGGGGAGCGGTGGTGGAGCGGTTAGCGCTACGCTGCGCTACGAACCCGGCGACTCTGGTTCGATTCCCGCTCACGGCGAAGACTGGTGACGACTATCTGAACCGGTCCTGGGTCTCCCCTAGGTCGACTCAGCCTCAAATTAGTACCTGGTGCGGTGTGTAAACATCGCCACTGGGGAGACAAAGGCGGTCGGGCGTGGTGCTGGCCACCCACCCTCTCGTGTACCGTGCCGGCCTTGGTAGGTGCTCGCTAACAGCACTTGCCCCTACAGTCTGTTAAGGCTGCACGGGGGATCTTTTTTTTTGGTGCGACCTCTCCTAACGCATTCGTTCGGCAACCGGAATCGAACCCCGTCACACAGCACGTGCTGCTGATGCTGAGTGCCTCACTGAGCTGTGCAGTCGCTCTTCTTCAGAAGCAACCTCGCTGTCACAAACGGTGGCTCAACAAAAGTGGCTTATCATGCGGAAATGTTTAGCAGCAGCCAAAGACTCCAAGCGCGTGTTTCTGAACGTGGAGGGGAAAAGTAGCCGGAGGACCTGGAGAAAAATCCACGCGACCACGGAGAGAGAGAGAGACGCAAACTCCAAATACACAGCAGGCGTCAGGGTCGGGATGAAACACACGACCTCCTGCATACCAGGCGAGGGAGTTAACATCTCGCCATTTATCAGCACTGTGGATGTGGCTGTAGTCGAGGACACGGGAATCCCATTAGAAGGTCGCGCCCTCCCCATGGCGCACACAAAGCGCTCGCCGCACATGAACCACCGACCATGACCTCGGCTGCTCGCTGGTGTCGCCACGGAGCCACGAGGCACGGCCCACGTGGCCCTGCGCTCGCCATCCTCACAGCGGCTTCTGGCTCAGCCATCGGCACAGGCGCTGGTGGTCTCCGCTTTCGGATGCGCTGCTCCTGGGGCCGTCTGGAACGCTCTTTTCCTTACCATGTTAGGAAGACACTGGGAGCTATGCCGCACTTTAAAATCATCATTATCATCATTATTATCATCTAGATTGACAAACTAATTTCTTTAGAACTGCTGCTGCTGTTGTGTTTAGCTTGTTGTGCTTCACCCCGCACTAGCGATTAGCGCTGTTCGCTATGTACGGTGTGAAAGATGTTCCACATACACCGTATATTACTGTGAAAACCAGGAAGGGCTTTCAGACAATGGGTCTTGAGACAGTGAAAAACTCGTGTGTGTGTGTGTGTGAACACCTATTAAGACGTGTGTGTGTGAACACCTATTAAGACGCGTGTGTGTGTGTGAACACCTATTAAGACTCGTGTGTGTGTGTGAACACCTATTAAGACGTGTGTGTGTGTGAACACCTATTAAGACTCGTGTGTGTGTGTGTGAACACCTATTAAGACTCGTGTGTGTGTGAACACCTCTTAAGACTTGTGTGTGTGCACACCTATTAAGACTCGTGTGTGTGTGTGTGAATACCTATTAAGACTTGTGTGTGTGTGTGTGAACACCTATTAAGACTCGTGTGTGTGTGTGTGTGTGAACACATATTAAGACTTGTGTGTGAACACCTATTAAGACTCGTGTGTGTGTGTGTGTGAACACCTATTAAGACTCGTGTGTGTGTGTGAACACCTATTAAGACGTGTGTGTGTGTGAACACCTATTAAGACTCGTGTGTGTGTGTGAACACCTATTAAGACTCGTGTGTGTGTGAACACCTCTTAAGACTTGTGTGTGTGTGAACACCTATTAAGACTCGTGTGTGTGTGTGAACACCTTTTAAGACGTGTGTGTGTGTGCACACCTATTAAGACTCGTGTGTGTGTGTGTGTGAATACCTATTAAGACTTGTGTGTGTGTGTGAACACCTATTAAGACTCGTGTGTGTGTGAACACATATTAAGACTTGTGTGTGAACACCTATTAAGACTTGTGTGTGTGAACACCTATTAAGACTCGTGTGTGTGTGTGAACACCTATTAAGACTCGTGTGTGTGTGTGAACACCTATTAAGACTCGTGTGTGTGTGTGAACACCTATTAAGACTTGTGTGTGTGTGTGTGCACACCTATTAAGACTCGTGTGTGTGTGTGTGTGTGCACACCTATTAAGACTCGTGTGTGTGTGTGAACACCTATTACGACTCGTGTGTGTGTGTGTGTGACCACCTATTAAGACTCGTGTGTGTGTGTGTGTGAACACCTATTAAGACGTGTGTGTGTGTGCACACCTATTAAGACTCGTGTGTGTGTGTGAACACCTATTAAGACTCGTGTGTGTGTGTGTGAACACCCATTAAGACTCGTGTGTGTGTGTGAACACCTTTTAAGACTCGTGTGTGTGTGTGTGAACACCTATTAAGACTCGTGTGTGTGTGTGTGAACACCTATTAAGACGTGTGTGTGTGTGTGAACACCTATTAAGACTTGTGTGTGTGTGAACACCTATTAAGACTCGTGTGTGTGTGTGAACACCTATTAAGACTCGTGTGTGTGTGTGAACACCTATTAAGACTCGTGTGTGTGTGTGAACACCTATTAAGGCTCGTGTGTGTGTGTGCACACCTATTAAGACTCGTGTGTGTGTGAACACCTATTAAGACTCGTGTGTGTGAACACCTATTAAGACTCGTGTGTGTGTGTGCACACCTATTAAGACTTGTGTGTGTGTGAACACTTATTAAGACTTGTGTGTGTGTGAACACATTAAAACTCGTGTGTGTGTTTGTGTGAACACCTATTAAGACTCATGTGTGTGTGTGTGAACACCTACAGCGAGAGAAAAAGTATTTGATCCCCTGCTGATTTTGTACATTTGCTCACTGACAAAGAAATGATCAGTCTATAATTTTAATGGTAGGTTTATTTGAACAGTGAGAGACAGAATAACAACAACAAAATCCAGAAAACGTATGTCAAAAATGTTATAAATTGATTTGCATTTTAATGAGAGAAAGATCTATGGCTCCCAGGTGTCTTTTATACAGTTAACGAGCTGAGATTAGGAGCACACTCTTAAAGGGAGTGCTCCTAATCTCAGCTTGTTGCCTGTATAAAAGACACCTGTCCACAGAAGCAATCAATCAATCAGATTCCAAACTCTCCACCATGTCCAAGACCAAAGAGCTCTCTAAGGATGTCAGGGACAAGATTGTAGATCTACACAAGGCTGGAATGGGCTACAAGACCATTGCCAAGCAGCTTGGTGAGAAGGTGACAACAGTTGGTGTGATTATTCGCAAATGGAAGAAACACAAAATAACTGTCAATCTCCCTCGGCCTGGGGCTCTATGCAAGATCTTACCTCGTGGAGTTGCAATGATCATGAGAACGGGGAGGAATCAGCCCAGAACTACACGGGAGGATATTGTCAATGATCTCAAGGCATCTGGGACCATAGTCACCAAGTAAACAATTGGTAACACACTACGCCATGAAGGACTGAAATCCTGCAGCGCCCGCAAGGTCCCCCTGCTCAAGAAAGCACATATACATGCCCGTCTGAAGTTTGCCAATGAACATCTGAATGATTCAGAGTACAACTGGGTGAAAGTGTTGTGGTAAGATGAGACCAAAATGGAGCTCTTTGGCATCAACTCAACTCGACGTGTTTGGAGGAGGAGGAATGCTGCCTATGACCCCAAGAACACCATCCCCACCGTCAAACATGGAGGTGGAAACATTATGCTTTGGGGGTGTTTTTCTGCTAAGGGGACAGGACAACTTCACCGCATCAAAGGGACGATGGATGGGGCCATGTACCGTCAAATCTTAGGTGAGAACCTCCTTCCCTCAGCCAGGGCATTGAAAATGGGTCGTGGATGGGTATTCCAGCATGGCAATGACCCAAAACACACGGCCAAGGCAACAAAGGAGTGGCTCAAGAAGAAGCACATTAAGGTCTTGGAGTGGCCTAGCCAGTCTCCAGACCTTAATCCCATAGAAAATCTGTGGAGGGAGCTGAAGGTTCGAGTTGCCAAACGTCAGCCTCGAAACCTTAATGACTCGGAGAAGATCTGCAAAGAGGATTGGGACAAAATCCCTCCTGAGATGTGTGCAAACCTGGTGGCCAACTACAAGAAACGTCTGACCTCTATGATTGCCAACAAGGGGTTTGCCACCAAGTACTAAGTCATGTTTTGCAGAGGGGTCAAATACTTATTTCCCTCGTTAAAATGCATAGCAATTTATCACATTTTTGACATGCTTTTTTCTGGATTTTTGTTGTTATTCTGTCTCTCACTGTTCAAATTAACCTACCATTAAAATGATAGACTGATAATTTCTTTGTCAGTGGGCAAACGTACAAAATCAGCAGGGGATCAAATACTTTTATCCCTCACTGCATTAACGTAGCATGTAGGAGTTGTGATGACCGACATGCGCCTGTATGGTGCACATGTGCTGCGCAGGGACTGTGTCTGTGCGTGTCTGTGCTGTGTCTGTGCGTGTCTGTGCTGTGTCTGTGCTGTGTCTGTGCGTGTCTGTGCTGTGTCTGTGCTGTGTCTGTGCGTGTATGTGCTGTGTCTGTGCTGTGTCTGTGCGTGTCTGTGCTGTGTCTGTGCTGTGTCTGGGCTGTGTCTGTGCTGTGTCTGGGCTGTGTCTGTGCTGTGTCTGTGCTGTGTCTGGGCTGTGTCTGTGCTGTGTCTGTGCTGTGTCTCTCTTCTAGCCGATCCTCAAAAATCCTCACCGTAATTTTTTTTTTATTATTGTTTATTGGTGCTGTTGTTTACTGTTGATTGTTGCTGTATGTTGTTGTTGTGGGGGGGGGGGGGGGGGTCAAGGACTTCGTTTGCCCCCCCAAAACCCCATCGCGAACGCGGTCGGAGGCGACCCTCGGTCATCGGCCTACGGCTCTTTGGGGGAGACCTCCTCACCTACATCCAGGTAACCCCCACTCACTCCTCACCTACATCCAGGTAACCCCCACTCACTCCTCACCTACACACAGGTACCACCACTCACTCCTCACCTACATCCAGGTAACCCCCACTCACTCCTCACCTACACACAGGTAACCCCCACTCACTCCTCACCTACACAGAGGTACCCCCACTCACTCCTCACCTACACACAGGTACCACCACTCACCTACACACAGGTACCACCACTCACTCCTCACCTACACACAGGTAACCCCCACTCACTCCTCACCTACACACAGGTACCACCACTCACTCCTCACCTACACAGAGGTACCCCCACTCACTCCTCACCTACACACAGGTACCACCACTCACTCCTCACCTACACACAGGTACCCCCACTCACTCTTCACCTACACACAGGTACCACCACTCACTTCTCACCTATACACAGGTACCACCACTCACTCCTCACCTACACACAGGTACCCCCACTCACCGACACACAGGTACTACCACTCACTCCTCACCTACACACAGGTACCCTCACTCACTCCTCACCGACACACAGGTACCACCACTCACTCCTCACCTACACACAGGTAACCCCCACTCACCTACACACAGGTACCCTCACTCACTCCTCACCGACACACAGGTACCACCACTCACTCCTCACCTACACACAGGTACCACCACTCACTCCTCACCGACACACAGGTACCACCACTCACTCCTCACCTACACACAGGTACCCTCACTCACTCCTCACCGACACACAGGTACCACCACTCACTCCTCACCTACACACATGTACCACCACTCACTCCTCACCTACACACAGGTGGTGAAATATGGTCAATTAACTCCCCCCCAATGCCCGCCATGGTCTGCCCGGCATAGGGAGGTCCTCATCTAGCAGCGGAGTTATACATGCGTGTGTGTGAGTGTGTGTGCGTGTGTGTGAGTGTGTGTGCGTGTGTGTGTGAGTGTGCGTGTGTGAGTGTGGCTAGTGCTACGCTGCGCTACGAACCAAGCGATCACAGTTCAATTCTCGCTTGCGGTCAAAACCAGTGACGATTATCTGAATCGGTTGTGGGCCTCCCCTAGATCGACTCAACCAAAAATGAGTACATGGTGCAGTGTATAAGCATCTCCACTTTGGAGACAAAGGCGGCCGGGCGTGGTGCTGGCCACCCTCCCCCTCATGTGCCGTGACGGCCTTCATAGGTGCTCGCTAACAGCACTTGCCCCAACAATCTGTGAAGGCTACACGGGGGATCTTTGTGTTTGTGTTCTCCAGGAGTCGGGTCACGTGATCCCCACCGTGGTGGTGAGCTGTGTGCGCTTCATCAACCTGTACGGTGGGTAACCCACCTGGTGCACCACCTACCTGCCTACGCACCCACCAGCCTACCTGTACACCCGCCCACCTGCCTGCGTGTTTACCTGCCTACCTACATACCCACCTACCTGCCTATCTATCCACCAGCTTGTCTGCCTACCTGTCTACCTACCCACCTACCTGTCTACCTGCCTACCTATACACCTGTTTACCTACCTGCGTGTTTAAATGCCTGCCTGTATAACCATTGGCATGTCTATCTACCTGCCAAACTATCTACCTACCTACATGCCTGCCTAACCATCCGGCTGTGTATTTACCTGCCTGTCTACCTGCCCACCCTCCTGCCTGACTTTGTACCTTTTGGCTGCCTGCCTTCCTGTCTACCAATCAAACTGCCTGTCTACCTGCATGCCTAGCTGGATACCTACCTGTCTATCTACTAATTGTCTACCTACCTGCCTTTATACCTGTCTGCCTAGCTGTATAGTTACCTGCCTATCTACTTATTGTCTACCTACCTGCCTGTCTACCTGTCTACCGAGCTGCACACCTGGCTGCCTGTTTACATACTTAGCTACAAATAAAACTCTCCTGCCACCTGCCTTCTTGCCTGCCTACCTACTATTGAGACTCGTCCTCTACCCTGGTCCCTTGAGTACTCCGTTCGTCACCCGGAATCTACTTGAACTCCTGACACCTGCGAGTGTGTCACCCCTGTTACCCGCGACCTGTGCCCCTGGTCCCCAGGGATGCATCAGCAGGGGATATTCCGGGTCCCCGGGTCACAGGCGGAGGTCAGCGAGATCAAGCATGCCTTCGAACGAGGTGCCTGGAGAACACCTAAACTCCACTCACTCTGTAGGACATGTGGAAATCACACAAACTCCACTCACTCAATCTGTAGAACAGGGGGAGATCACAAACTCCACTCACTCACTCTGTAGAACAGGAGGAGATCACACAAACTCCACTCTCACTCTGTAGAACAGGAGGAGATCACACAAACTCCACTCACTCACTCTGTAGTACAGGGGGAGATCATACAAACTCCACTCACTCACTCTGTAGAACCGGGGGATATCACACAAACTCCACTCACTCTGTAGAACAGGGAGAGATCACACAAACTCCACTCACTCACTCTGTAGAACAGGAGGAGATCACACAAACTCCACTCACTCACTCTGTAGGACAGGGGGAGATCAGACAAACTCCACTCACTCACTCTGTAGTACAGGGGGAGATCACACAAACTCCACTCACTCACTCTGTAGGACAGGGGAGATCACACAAACTCCACTCACTCAATCTGTAAACCAGGGGGAGATCACACAAACTCCACTCACTCACTCTGTAGAACAAGGGGAGATCACACAAACTCCACTCACTCAGTCTGTAGACCAGGGGGAGATCACACAAACTCCACTCACTCTGTAGAACAAGGGGAGATTACACAAACTCCACTCACTCACTCTGTAGAACAGGGAGAGATCACACAAACTCCACTCACTCACTCTGTAGAACAGGAGGAGATCACACAAACTCCACTCACTCTGTAGAACCGGGGGAGATCACACAAACTCCACTCACTCACTCTGTAGAACAGGGGGAGATCACACAAACTCCACTCGCTCACTCTGTAGACCAGGGGGAGATCACACAAACTCCACTCACTCACTCTGTAGAAAAGGGGAGATCACACAAACTCCTCTCACTCACTCTGTAGAACAGGGGGAGAACACAAAAACTCCACTCACTCACTCTGTAGAACAGGGGGAGAACATACAAACTCCACTCACTCACTCTATAGAACAGGGGGGGAACACACAAACTCCACTCACTCGCTCTATAGAACAGGGGGAGATCACACAAACTCCACTCGCTCTGTAGAACAGGGGGAGATCACACAAACTCCACTCACTCTGTAGAACAGGGGGAGAACACACAAACTCCACTCACTCACTCTGTAGAACAGGAGGAGATTACACAAACTCCACTCACTCACTCTGTAGAACGGGAGGAGATTACACAAACTCCACTCACTCACTCTGTAGACCAGGGAGAGATCACAAAAACTCCACTCACTCTGTAGAACAAGGGGAGATCACACAAACTCCACTGACTCACTCTGTAGGACATGTGGAAATCACACAAACTCCACTCACTCAATCTGTAGAACAGGGGGAGATCACAAACTCCACTCACTCACTCTGTAGAACAGGAGGAGATCACACAAACTCCACTCACTCACTCTGTAGAACAGGAGGAGATCACACAAACTCCACTCACTCACTCTGTAGTACAGGGGGAGATCATACAAACTCCACTCACTCACTCTGTAGAACCGGGGGATATCACACAAACTCCACTCACTCTGTAGAACAGGGAGAGATCACACAAACTCCAATCACTCACTCTGTAGAACAGGAGGAGATCACACAAACTCCACTCACTCACTCTGTAGGACAGGGGGAGATCACACAAACTCCACTCACTCACTCTGTAGTACAGGGAGAGATCACACAAACTCCACTCACTCACTCTGTAGGACAGGGGGAGATCACACAAACTCCACTCACTCACTCTGTGGACCGGGGGAAGATCACACAAACTCCACTCACTCACTCTGTAAAACAAGGGGAGATCACACAAACTCCACTCACTCACTCTGTAGAACAGGGGGAGATCACACAAACTTCACTCACTCACTCTGTAGAACAGGGGGAGATCACACAAACTCCACTCACTCTGTAGAACAGGGGGAGAACACACACACTCCACTCACTCACTCTGTAGAACAGGAGGAGAACACACAAACTCCACTCACTCACTCTGTAGAACAGGGGGAGATTACACAAACTCCACTCACTCACTCTGTAGAACAGGGGGAGATTACACAAACTCAACTCACTCTGTAGAACAGCGGGAGATCACACAAACTCCACTCACTCACTCTGTAGTACAGGGGGAGATCACACAAACTCCACTCACTCACTCTGTAGGACAGGGGGAGATCACACAAACTCCACTCACTCACTCTGTGGACCGGGGGAAGATCACACAAACTCCACTCACTCACTCTGTAAAACAAGGGGAGATCACACAAACTCCACTCACTCACTCTGTAGAACAGGGGGAGATCACACAAACTTCACTCACTCACTCTGTAGCACAGGGGGAGATCACACAAACTCCACTCACTCTGTAGAACAGGGGGAGAACACACACACTCCACTCACTCACTCTGTAGAACAGGAGGAGAACACACAAACTCCACTCACTCACTCTGTAGAACAGGGGGAGATTACACAAACTCCACTCACTCACTCTGTAGAACAGGGGGAGATTACACAAACTCAACTCACTCTGTAGAACAGCGGGAGATCACACAAACTCCACTCACTCACTCTGTAGAACAGGGGGAGATCACACAAACTCCACTCACTCACTCTGTAGAACAGGGGAAGATCACACAAACTCCACTCACTCTGTAGAACAGGGGGAGATCACACAAACTCCACTCACTCACTCTGTAGGACAGGGGGAGATCACACAAACTCCACTCACTCACTCTGTAGAACAGGGGGAGAACACACAAACTCCACTCACTCACTCTGTAGAACATGGGGAGAACACACAAACTCCACTCACTCACTCTGTAGAACAGGGGGAGATCACACAAACTCCTCTCACTCACTCTGTAGAACAGGGGGAGAACACAAAAACTCCACTCGCTCTGTAGAACAGGGGGAGAACACACAAACTCCACTCACTCTATAGAACAGGGGGAGATTACACAAACTCCACTCAATCACTCTGTAGAACAGAGGGAGAACATAAAAACTCCACTCACTCTGTAGAACAGGGGGAGATCACATAAACTCCACTCTGTAGAACAGGGGGAGATCACACAAACTGCACTCACTCACTCTGTAGAACAGGGGGAGAACATACAAACTCCACTCACTCACTCTATAGAACAGGGGGAGAACACACAAACTCCACTCACTCACTCTATAGAACAGGGGGAGATCACACAAACTCCACTCGCTCTGTAGAACACGGGGAGATCACACAAACTCCACTCACTCACTCTGTAGAACAGGAGGAGATTACACAAACTCCACTCACTCACTCTGTAGGACAGGGGGAGATCACACAAACTCCACTCGCTCACTCTTTAGAACAGGGGGAGATCACACAAACTCCACTCACTCACTCTGTAGACCAGGGGGAGATCACACAAACTCCTCTCACTCACTCTGTAGAACAAGGGGAGAACACAAAAACTCCACTCACTCACTCTGTAGGACAGGGAAAGATCACACAAACTCCACTCACTCTGTAGAACAGGGGGAGAACATACAAACTCTACTCACTCACTCTATAGAACAGGGGGAGAACACACAAACTCCACTCACTCACTCTATAGAACAGGGGGAGATCACACAAACTCCACTCGCTCTGTAGAACACGGGGAGATCACACAAACTCCACTCACTCACTCTGTAGAACAAGGGGAGATTACACAAACTCCACTCACTCACTCTGTAGAACAGTGGGAGATCACACAAACCCCACTCACTCACTCACACAAACTCCACTCACTATGTAGAACAGGGGGAGATCACACAAACGCCACTCACTCACTCTGTGGAACAGGGGGAGATCACACAAACTCCACTCACTCTGTAGAATAGGGGGAGATCACACAAACGCCACTCACTCACTCTGTAGGACAGGGGGAGATCACACACACTCCACTCACTCACTCTGTAGGACAGGGCGAGAACACACAAACTCCACTCACTCACTCTGTAAAACAGGAGAAGATCACACAAACTCCACTCACTTACTCTGTAGAACAGGAGGAGATCACACAAACTCCACTCACTCACTCTGTAGACCAGGGGGAGATCACCCAAACTCCACTCACTCTGTAGAACAAGGGGAGATCACACAAACTCCACTGACTCACTCTGTGGGACAGGGAAAGATCACACAAACTCCACTCACTCTGTAGACCAAGGGGAGATTATACAAACTCCACTCACTCACTCTGTAGACCAGGGGAAGATCACACAAACTCCCCTCACTCACTCTGTAGAACAAGGGGAGATCACACAAACTCCACTCACTCACTCTGTAGAACATGGGGAGAACACACAAACTCCACTCACTCACTCTGTAGAACAGGGGGAGATCACACAAACTCCTCTCACTCACTCTGTAGAACAGGGGGAGAACACAAAAACTCCACTCGCTCTGTAGAACAGGGGGAGAACACACAAACTCCACTCACTCTATAGAACAGGGGGAGATTACACAAACTCCACTCAATCACTCTGTAGAACAGAGGGAGAACACACAAACTCCACTCACTCTATAGAACAGGGGGAGATCATACAAACTCGACTCGCTCTGTAGAACAGGGGGAGAACATAAAAACTCCACTCACTCTGTAGAACAGGGGGAGATCACATAAACTCCACTCTGTAGAACAGGGGGAGATCACACAAACTGCACTCACTCACTCTGTAGAACAGGGGGAGAACATACAAACTCCACTCACTCACTCTATAGAACAGGGGGAGAACACACAAACTCCACTCACTCACTCTATAGAACAGGGGGAGATCACACAAACTCCACTCGCTCTGTAGAACACGGGGAGATCACACAAACTCCACTCACTCACTCTGTAGAACAGGAGGAGATTACACAAACTCCACTCACTCACTCTGTAGGACAGGGGGAGATCACACAAACTCCACTCGCTCACTCTTTAGAACAGGGGGAGATCACACAAACTCCACTCACTCACT